CGGACTTCCTCCATTTCCGCAACATTACCAGTTTCCTCTCTTTTTCTCTCAGCCAAAAATTCATTGAAAGATTGATATTCACTTCTTATCAGGCATTTGGCGCATAATATTTCCATACATCACAATCACCCAATTTTTAATGCTTATCGGAATGACTCAGGTTATCCAGATTGACAACGCAATGTTCGTTGATTTCGAGAGGTCACAAAGTGTCCCCTTATTATTTATGACTGTGTTGAATTGCTGCTACAACAAATCCTCTCGGATTGTTAAATGATGGGGAGAAAGTGATAAACTGTATTTTGTGCGTTGAATTTCATTCGAAAAAAGTAGCTTACGAGGATGTGAATCAGTTCAACGTGTGGTAGTAGTAAGCAGTAAGTAGTGATGGGCGCTGTTGTGCCACGGTACACAATGGTACACACAAATTACGCTACTTCCCCTTTTCGTCGTACTCTATGAAAATGTCTCCGAAAAGGCAACTTGTCTAAATGAATCGTAAAAGTTAACGGTAACATACAGGTTAGGTGTCGTATGATAGGGATGAAGTAGGGAAGAGAAAAAGACAAAGAAACGAAGACCTGATTTCTCCGAATATCTTCCTTCCATGCTGCAGTTGTATTTCAGGCTTATGTTTCATACGTTCACCTCCTGCTATCTCCACCCTTTTACAACATACCTTTACATTTTACTCCTCATTATCCATACTTTATTCATCTAAAATTTCAACTTTTAGTGAAATCGATTCATCGTACTAATTACTGAGGTTGTATAGATTCACTCAATACCAAAGCAAATGTAAATTGTTTAACATTTCTGCACTCTCTTATGGCTCATTCCTGTTGCCATAACTGATAACGCATCGAATTTAACCGATTTCTTTTGTAGTTGTTGATATCATCTTTACACAATTCATCGTTTCCCTTTTCATTTTCTATGTTACCAACACTACCTCCTAGAATTAAATTTTCTAAACAATTGTCATTTTGTAGTATAATTGCATTTTCAATTCCGCATATTTCTGGCCCTCTCTTATCGCTCCAATATTTTTAGCTTTCTTATGTTATCACTTGAACTGTGCTTTTTATCCCGCGAAAGATCAGACTCAAGCTATCATGCCTTGTTGAGAAAATAATACTGCTTTCCAAAGAATAGCTAGTGCTGCTGTTCTTAACGTTATCAAAACGTATCGTATATTTCTGTGCATTCGTTATCATTAATTTTGCTCCAAATAATGTTCTCGATAGTGCGAAATATTTAGTTTAATTGGTTTACTAAGTGGTATTAAACTATTACTCGAACCTTTTTTGCTTTTTTCTGTGTTAATCCCAATAAAGTACTCTTCCTTCTTGTTTCACATTGATATCAACATGACTTATCAGATCACCGATATCATTCCTTTGCAGTGCAGCTGATATAAGAAATTTCCTAAATGTCTTCAGGCGATTTACTGATGTCTCTGCCCAAATTGAAACAAAAGAGTTGGGTGGAAGGGTTGTTAACATTTGGAGTTTTGATGCGAAAGATTTACTCGGAAATTCGGCAATCGGAGATGTTGAACTTGTCGTTCACACTAAGTGGTTGTTAGTGAACGGGAATATGCGGACAAAAGGTAGATATAGAATGGTAGTTAGGGAGAGTAATAATCATAATGGTAATATTAACTCCTCGGAATCTCGATCTCATTCATCTGACTAATTACGTGAACAAAATGCACCGGTAATATTGCCCTTTCTTTCCGTTTCGTTCTTTTTTTCTTATTAAGGCTTGTTTAAATCTCTTTTTTTTTTCCAGCGTAATTCTCTAATTTAAAAATCAGATAAAATAACACCTCACCGGCTATTAAATTTGAAAGTAATATGTTGTATAACTTTAGAACGGAATTTGATGTGTTTACCAAGAACAATAGTGATGTACAATACCATAATACTACCGAAAGCAAACGTATTGGTAATAGTACTACCAATAATGGTGATGTTATTATAAAGTCGTTATCATCTATATATTAGCAAAAAAAAATCTAGTATTTACTAATTTTTAGATTCTGGATTTCATTAATCGTAGTAGTAGAATTAATAATTTGTGATCCACACTATGTTAAAATAAGTAGTATTATTAAGTTAAGTGATACATAGATTACACAAACCAAACAAAGGCAATTTAAGATTGTCGAAAGATAGGAGCGCACCCTTAATGGCACACCTCAACAGAATTGATTTTATATCCTTTTTATTTTCTTCGTTAGTACCGGTACCGTTCTATAGAAGTTGTCAAAAAAAATCTTACCAACACGGCAGTTAGTAGGTCAGTAGATCCCAGCTTTTGTTCGTAATCTGCTGGAAGGATTTCCTCAACTGTCAAAAATTAGAAAGAGTGATATGAAAACTATGTAGAATAGAATATCACAATTATCCAATCTCTCTTCAAAGGAACTTTATCTAAGTGCTCTTATTACATCAAGTGGTTATCTGTTTTTGCTAGGCATTTTGATAGAAGATACCAGTTACAGATGAGAGAAATTAGCATCGAAACAGGAGAGCTTGCTCAGCTTTCTTTCTATAAACTTTCTGAAAACATACTTCTACCTCAAACCAAAGTTTCAATTAATCATGTGCAAGCGAACCGATTCGTTGAAAACATATTGATATCATTTGTTCAATTTCTACCATCTACATTAGAAATAATACTAAGATTCAAAATTCGAAACTTTTTTAAACATGAACTGACCAGCAGATCAATAATGTAGAGTGGAGAAAGAAAAATCAAGTTTTTAAACGAAGTAGCGAGAAAAGAGAAAAGAGCTGACTCAGATATTCATTCACATTCTTAAATCTTTCCATATTATTTCAAATAAATCTTTCCATCTTTCTTTATTCCAAATTAATTACACCAAATAGTTACTTCTTACATCAAAGTACGAAAGAAACTCTTTATGCTGTTCATTTAAAACACAAAAGCTTCATATTATTAAAATATGATTCATTATGAGTAATGTGAAATTAAAGAATAAGAGATAGCAGACGTCAGTTACAAATCTGATTAACATTAGCGTATATGGGAGCGCAGTGGTAATTAGGTTGACCAAGTTCATCAGATCGTTTCACTCTGTCGAACATTTCTGGTCGAAATGTTTCTTTATGTGTTATGACCCGTCACAGCGAACCACTGAAACTATCATATTCTACCAGCAGAGCCATATTTGTATAAAATGAATAAAAAAAATCTTTTATTCATCATACAATGCTAGTAAGAACTCCTTGCATAATTTGCACTAGAATAGCGCCCTCATTGTTCTTTCAGCAACTTGTACTTGAGACCATTCTGAACGGTAAATTATCTTTAGCCTCGACTTGAAAAATCTCGTTTCCTCCATAAATGTCTAAAAGTTGAGATATTGCACTGGATATCGGCAACAAACAATTTCTTCGTCCTGAGAAAATTTAATTTAGAAAAGTCATTAAGAAAGGTTTTGGAGTAATAATAAAGGCGAAATAACAACCAAAGCCGTGAAAGGAAAGAATAGATTTAAAACACACTTAGTGTATCTCTCCTATTCTTTTTTGTTTTCGGCAACTTTTCGCAAATTTTTAAATTAGGAAATTGAGCCACTTACTACTTCATAATGACCATTCCTTCTTTCTCGTCACGCATCAAGAATTCTTCTTATATTGCTCCAAATTCTGCGGTTACAAGAATTATCACTTTAAGCAATTATTCTAAGAAATGTTTCAGATAGTTGTGAAATTGCTTCTCGCAAGAAGAACGATTTCTTACTTCCTGGTAGAATTTTGAGGGGAACCATTATAAATCTGCTCGTTGATTCAGTGCTTCAATAAGAATTTATCAACAATCGAGTGGGACTGTCCAAAGAGCTAGAGATCTTTCAATATGTTACAACTTTGGATAAGGTTAGCGGTGAAGAAGGATGCGTTTTGTAGAAGAAAGAGGGAATTAGAAATAAAGGGAAATAGGGAGGCGCAAAAAGTTGAGGAAAATATAATGAAACTTTTAATGGATGGGAAGAGGAGAGGTCATCTTCGGAAGGTTTAGAGGTATAGATAAAAGAAAAGAAGAAGAAATACTGAGTAATCTGTTCCTCATTGAAAATAAATGAATGACAAGTTAAAACTATTTCAACAAATCACCACATCATGAATATAGTTAATTCAAATTGGAGCAATGAGGAATGAAGTTCCTTAAAAATAAATTAAGTGCTGTCTGTCCTAGTTACCTCATTTACAGTTCTGAAGAATTTGCCTAAGTGGGTGTTTAGAAAACAAAGGTGATTATATAAAGACACCTATTATTACTTAATAGTTGCTTCTTGTAGATTTTTTTGCTTTTATTCTGGATTTGGTGCCTAATAAAAAAGCTTCAAATTCAAGATTTTCGTTGCAAACTAAGTTAAGATGATAATTTACTATATTTTCCAATAGATAATTTTATGTTCATGGAATGTGAAAAAAATGAGCTCATTGTTAAAAAATCCGGTAACAAATCACTAATTGGTCAAATTTCGACTTGAAAGTATGCTTCTTCCACCTCCTGTTTGAAAATAACACAGGGAAGACAGTAACGATTTTTTAGACTTCAATTAATCAGCATGAGAGACATTTGTCACTTACGAAAGTGGCTATTGAGGAGCATCCGAACTTCAATGATCTGAAACTAACGTGCCTTCACATACGCCATTATCTAACGCTGGTATTATCTTTGAAAAGGAAAGATGGACCTTTTGACGGACGTTTTGTCGAGGGCACTCAACTATAAAAAAGGGTGGTATGCAATATTGTCATTTACTGCATATGCAACGAAATAATTGTTATACGATATATGTTAGCTTATCTGTAGCCCTATTTGGACAGATAGGCAAGGAATGACGCGTGCACGTTTTAGAGTGCGTGAATAATGGTGGATTAAAACACAGAAGCGCCTCGCGGTAACAGCACAAAGTATGCCATACGACTCAGCACTATGTACGCCATCCTTTCTGCCTTTACTTAATATTCTGTTACCAGTGCTGCCTCCGCCATTGCTGTTGCCGCTGCCGCCGGCGCTGATGCTGCTGCTGCTGCTGATGATGATGGCGGTGGTGGTGCTGGTGGTGCTAGTGGTGCTAGAAGTACCCCCCGACGGAAGAGAACGCACCCGAGCTGTGTCAATAGTGAAATGAAGCCAGCACAGAATGAAGGCCAATGAGAGTGAGGCGCCATTGACCTTGTCTTTGCCATAGACGGTTTACATTTGGTACTCGGTGCCATCGACAATTCTGCTACCTCTATCACCTTCATATCAATAGCAGCAGCAGCAGTGGTAGTCATAGTTGTAGCAGCAGCAGCAGCTCGCTCTTGTCCATTCCCTATTGACCTTGATTTTTACTGCTATCGTCCCCGCTCCTCATAGTTCTTTCATTACTATCCATCCCACTGATACAATTAAAATTAGTTATACCATCTACCTATACCGGAACAAGTTCTGACAATAACGCGCCTAATGTCAGGTGGGCGCTTCTTGTCTCTTTCTGTGTGACACAGAGAGTACTATGCTCGGCCTGGGTAGTCATTTCTTTTGTCATTTCCATTTTCATCCTTTTTTGGCTTAATGCAATTACCTTATGAGATTTATTACTTTTGGTTATGAAATTATGTTAGTTATACTTGACTGAGTTCAATTTCACTCGAAATTATTTCGCTACTTATCTTCAAAACCCACTTAATATAATGTTATTGAAACATTAATCTCATCGTTATGTAAAAGTATATATAGTTTGCCTTTGAGAAAAACTACTGTTAACTTATGAACAAGATCTGTGACGAGGAAATTGCGTTCCAAGTAGCGAGCGACCTTGGCAGAGAAACGCAGACTTTGATCCAGTCGGTTCGAATTGTCTCTCGGGGACAAGTTTCACATTACAATCTCGAAAATGTGAAATTAAAGTTTCTAAAATCTACTTCGGATCATACGTGGATAACATTTGTTGTTTAATGTTAACTGGGCGAATATGATACTGTTTCCAATATATGTCCTCAAACTTTGAAAAATCTAGTGCGGCACTTATAGTGGACACTTAGAGATTTTTAATTGACGGAAAAGTATTTGCTGTTGCAGTAATTGGACAGATGTAGTGAGATCGGGTAATGTGATAGGCGATTGTGTAGGTGGGAAATGAAAGATGAGTGGCTCTAAGATAGCGCTTGTTGTGGCCATGATAGCCAACGACAACAAAAGAGACAACTGAGAAATGGAAATTCTTAGCGAACGCTGTTCTTTGGAAAATTTTTCCAAAATATGGGCTTTTAGGTCTTCATCTTCATTAGATATTGAGAGATGAAGGGCATAAGCAATATTTTTAATCGCATCCTAGATGTACTAATATTGTCACCCTAGTACTACAGCGCAAAAATAGTAAATGTGGTAAACGTGAACAGTTTACGTTTTAGAATGAGTCCAGTTCACGTTACACGCTGGTTATCTATAAATTTGCTCATTCTTTATGTCTGTTTGTTGCAAATCATTCATTAAAGGGAAAAATCGATATAGTTGTGACGCAAGGAGACTTAGGTTCTAGCGGACACTCAGACGATCTTTAGCCTTTTGTCAGGCTAAATAAAAAATGCTGAGATAGCCAGACAACTGCAAGGAAAGATGAAGTAGAATTTGGAATTTCAAATAAGGTAAGATATTGAATTTCCGCAATTTTACTTTTCGAAAATTTCCTACTTGTATCTGTCGTGAGGTACTTTCATCAAGAATTAATAATTAATAGGTGGATGACTAATAAAAGATAACGTCAACAATCAAAATAGGTCAACCAAAATACTGCTTACCCTATGCTTTCGACTTAGTCAGTCGTTAAGTAAGAACATCTGGCATATATGTTATGGGTCCGTGTACTGTTGGTGATACAATTATTACTCGTACAGCGACATTGGTTGCTAAGTAATAAACTCGATGAGCAATGTTAAAAATGGCATTTTGTTTGTGAAATGTTTGTGTGAAGGGTGAAGACTTCAAGGTTGTATATGAAGGTTTGTTAGCAGCAAGCGGCGGCGGTATTATTGGCACGGGCGCTCACTCTCACTTTACTTTTCATTAAAAGACTGATTAGACTGAAAAGAGTGCTCACTCAATAAAACTAATACCGGGATGCTATTAAGCACTATATGGTTACACACTAAAATTTAATGCCCTTTGCAATCCAACATTTCATAATGATTTAACTGTCAGACATTATTACCTACCATAATGTACATCCATCATCATTTCATTATTATATTAATCTGGCTAATATTATTATCGTCGTCATTTTTTCTTACGCTCATTTCGATGTAATCTGCTAAGTACAAAAGTTTTCGACAAATTTTTGGCGCCATCAGAGCATTTGTTACCGGACGGAGGAGGGAAGAACTTGGATTGTTCTTCCGCTATCCTTTTTCGTTTTGTTTCCTGTGTCCTTACTCTCTGCTTTGTTCTTCCAGTTTACCTTTTTTATAAAGTCAATGCTTTTTTTGTGTATCTAAACAAAATAGTTGAAGTTTGAATATTTTTCGGTATCAAGCGATATCGCAAGAGAAAACATGGTGTTCGATTGGTGTAAGTTTTCGAACATGAATATACATGCATTGATTTCACTGGTAGTGACACCTTTTACAAGTTTATCTTTTTTATATATTTTTCTCTACTCTAAGCACTTCTATGTTTGTCAAATTATATCTCATTTTTCATATGTTCCATTTGTGTTTCTTGAAGTCCGACCTGAGTTTACCTCATGTATGAATAATTTATCACTTTCTTATTTTGATTGCTTGTATCGATCTTCATAGAGTTTGAATTTTCAAATTTGATGTGCTATAATGGATCATGCGAAATACCGGTTTATATATTTTTTTTCCCATCCTTAAATTTATAAGAATTGTCAATAAATGTTTCAAAATTCGCGCGGTGCTTTATCTCTTATAATTGAACTAATATGACACAAAATCAGTTAATACCGACTAATGTATTATGTGAATATTTCCTTCACTTTTCAATCAATCTTACTTATTTACTTGCTGCCTCTGCTGAAAAAAATCTTCATTAATGTGATGCACGATGCATACAGTTTTCCATAATTTACAGATTCTCTTAAATCTTTAAGTGAATCTTATAAGAGCAGAAATTCCGTCTTTTTTTTCAATGATCTCATTGTCAATATGAGTGTTGTTATGTATTCTCACGTAAACATATGTCTTTAATATTAATTATTGTACAATTATAATATTAATTTCAGACTACTTTTACTTTAGTGATTGCTAAAGTTGATAGGAAATACGCTGTCCTTAAACTGCAATTTTTGCTAATAATGCGATAGAATGTGAAGGAGTTGTTACATGGTGGAAAATCGAAGTAGATAGTCCTTATTTTTTGTATCTGGTCATTTTTGTTAATCTTTGTCTATACAGTTTAATGGAACAAACTGGTAATTAGCCGGATTTCTTCGCCAGTTTGGTCATGATCTCCACTAAAACAATGATGAAGGATGAGTTTATAAAAGCTAGTGGTTTGGAATATGAAGATTGCGACATGGATGTGGAAAACGACGACGGTAATTGTTTTGAGAACTTATGTTGTCTCCGTTAGCTTTTCATATAATCGAGGTGTTGTTATCGTTGTGCTCAACAAGGGGAGACAAACAAGTATTTCTAAAATCCTCCAGAAATATTGGAAACATGTTGTTCAAGAGAAATTCCGTTCACTTCAAGGGAGAATAATAAGTACATCCAAATGAATTGAGGAGTGCTAGACAAAAAGTTGCATTATTATCAACAATTGGTGATTTATCTTGCAAATATTATCATCTTACACTTAGTTTTTACATCCATATTGGTTCATTTTAACCTTCTGCTTTTTTAAATTAAAAACTCGTCATGCAATAAATTCCTCATTTAATTAGGATCGAGTGTTGCTGGTATCAATGAAACGAAGGGAGAAAGTGAATCTATTAATGGTGAGATTTTGTATAATCTCTTTTTCAGCATTCATACATGGTCATAAAAGAACGGTACTATAGGATTCCGGAAACAATACAATTTAGATCAAGTGGCAAAACAGGACAAATTTTTCTGAAAAACATTATCAATGTGTGACAAACTTGTTAGCAGCCATAAATAATCAAAATGAAATAGTGCAAATCTGAGGAAAATACGATCCGCAACTTTCAAAAGACTTACCGGTCTTCACCATCTTGATTTAGTTAGATGATGGTCCATTTGTCCCTCAAAGCTCCTGAATGTTTCATATGACTTATGTCAGTACTTTCCACATCGTTTTAGGATGGTCTGATGATATTTGACGTGGATATAGAAATGTAGTGAAATGAAATAAGAAAGAGATATTGCAGATGCTGGAGAGGAGGAAAACGATGGAGGAATGGCAAGCACTTCAGGGAATAATTTATTTCGTACACAAGTATTTGCTACCCAACGGCACAAACCAAATCGGGAGGCGAAAATTCTGGAGACATCCATTGCTAATTTGAAGAAAAAACTGCAAACGCAAAGTCAAACAAGTTTCTCAGCTTCTACTACTCACTCTCGTTAGCATCTTTTATTTATAATCTACTTTGAAGTCAGTAATCCAGTTATCCTCTGTTCCAGTCAGTGTTCGTGACTCTCATTCGGGCTATGTTACCTTTCTAGTTGGGACACTTTAGAGATCAATTTAATAAATACTATGGTGAAACGATGGACTGATTTATTTACAAGGCCGTAAGGCGAAACAGTGGCGGCCGCCTGCTGAATGTTTACCATGTTGAGGATGGGAAGCTGCTGGTATATGAGTAGTGTTTGTGAGTTTGCTATTGTACGTGCTTTAAAGAAAAGGTTTTGTGAGATGCGAGGATTTACATTTTTTTTGGAAATGAAAAAAGGATGTCATTTTACAGTTTGTTAAGTTTATGAAGTTTGGCCCTATCTCATAAAATATTAAGGGAATATGAAACACAGAACAATCTGGCGATACACTTTTGAATTTATTTCAAAGGTTTTTTTGTGTTTGAAAGATTTTTCTTTTTCAATTTAAGAAATAAAAAATGATGGTTTTAGGTTTGAAGAAAACATCTGCAGACACTGGATTTTCATCAATACGAGAAATAGAAGATCTGTCTCAGGTTACCGGTCGTACAGCTTTACGAATTGCTAACGAAGGACGCCCGTTAGAAGTTGAAAATTGTTCGGACAGCTTTGATGAAGATGGCCAAACAGCTGTTGGTAATGATAATTAAATTATTTTTGATGTGTGAATGACCTATAAGGGATCGGTGAAAAAACATTTTGTGTGGTCAGTTTCTGTGTATTTAACTTTTATTTAAGATTAAATTAAATTAAATAATTTATTTTCCACTGCTGTCGCTACTAAAATGTAATAATGTTCTGTTAGTCAGTTTTTGATTAAAGTAATAGTGCTCGTAGTTGTGCTGTCGAATATTTTTCAAAATGATGGGTAATAACAAGCTGAATTTGGAATACTGCACTGTTAATATAATTGGTAATATTTTGCTTTAGAAAGGAGTTTGGCTGCAATGACAAAGTCGAAATACAGCAC